TTCTTCAGCTAGCAATCAACGAAACTTTCGTTAATTGCCCGTTACGACGAACGATGCTCGTGAATTTTATGGACACGTAGCACGCGTTCGCACGTTGACAGCGGAAGTATTCGGTTGGAAATGTAAATTATACATTAGATAGACTCGTTTGTTCTTAGAATACTTATGCGTCGATAAGCGGAGTGATGCTTTTTCCATAAACGTGTTCGACGATTCGAACCGTTCTAGCATTCGGTGCGCGTAATATTTAGGAAAATTCTCGGTTTAACGGATACTAAGTAATCGAAGTTATTTTTCATTTTCTACGCTCGGAGCAGTGACAGTTCTTTTTTATTTGTATATTTTTCAACGATTGTAACGTAGTTTAACCCCTTGGCTACTGTTGGCGCCTAAAGGCGTTTTAAAAACTCGATTTCGGCGTGCTATGTGAAATGTTATTGACAAAAATCGCAGCAAAATTCAACAATTACATTTTCTGTTAGTCGTATTTTATGTAAATTTCATTATTTTACACCGGTTTAATTCGGTTCAATTCAGTATTTTGATGGTTTCAATACATTTCTTTCGAAATGCGCGTTAATACAGAATTCTGTCGTAGCTAAGGGGTTAACACGTTGACCGTCACGATGGTCACTGATGACCGGAGCTTCCAAATTGCTTGAAAACAAATACAAGAAGAGAACCGGCGCCAAATCAAAATATTTCGTAATAGAATATATAAATCTTCGTATATAATTGTTCCTATCGTAACCAGTCAAATAACTAGCTACAAAAGACAAGTAAACAAGTTAGATGATGAATTTTTCTTAGTCGAAACGGAAATAGAAGAAAAGACAAGAATTGAAAAACTGATCGAATTTATACTAATCGAGGAGTATAAGAATTCATTAATGTTAAATGGAAGAAAACGCAAGATTTTTAATCAAATTTTAAAACCGGCCATTTGGCCGCTTCGCGATTAGTGTTAAGAACGACGATGTCAACTTATTAATAATTAATTCTAATACCATTTTTCTTAGTTACGGAAGAATAATTAAATTTTACACAAATTCAAGATTCTCGTGACGGTCAACGTATTAATCAGTTAATTCTGCTCGACGAGTATACGCGTCGTCTTAAAATCAAAATGAAACTAATTCAGTGAACGATAAATTCTTTATTTTTTCCGATACACGTGCAATTCTTCTTCGTTCTGTTTGAACTTTTCGTTCGAATATGTTATAGACGCATGCAAAATATACACTTCATTATCTTATTCTTTTGCTGGAATAATCAGAGATTTCTGAAATTCAATTCTACGGTTAACACACTGCGTGCCGGCTAATTTTCAGAAAACTGAATCGTGCGGATGGCAATTTTCACTGAGGTCAACTTATATCACTATCCATGAAGAAACTCAGATATCATATTGTTATGTAATACATTTTAAATAGATAATCAATTCGAATGAAATTTTATATTTTTTTCAATGCTGCGGTAATTAGCGAAGTTACACAGCTAAGTGTCTTTATATAAAAACGAGATTTCTCGTTACCGGTGCGCAATGTATTAACAGACTAAAGGAAAAATCGTTTCGTCGGCGTCTCTTTTAGTAACGTGTGCATAACGAACGTTTCAATGAATTTTTTTCCACCAAAGGCAATTCGATTTTCTTGGTTTCGAGTGTGCGCTCAAGACAGTTCGACGATAACATATCGGTAACTATTTCTTCCGTAACGGAAGCGTTAAGCAATTAAAATTAGCTTTGCAAATGCAACAGTAACGGGCAAAAGTACAAACGTTTCGGAAAAAGTTTGAAGTTAGAAACAGTGACATTACAGCTTGTACGCGAGTGTTGCATTTCTGAAGGATAAGGGTTGAGTGTTTAATATTTAATCAGTTCACTGCGCTTGACGGGTATAAACGTCTCATCATGAACTTGAAACGATACATCCTTTATTTTTTCAGATAAACGCGGAATTGGTTTTTATGTCGCTTTGGTTTTTCATCAACATTAAATGACTTTTTGAAATTCCTCTATACGAACTTTAAGGGTGAATCTATTGAGACTTCAGTTGATTTATAATTCAGTTGGCGTATCGCTAAATCAATTTCTTGAATAATTTCTCAGAGAAACACATGTTGTCTTTTTAAACATTTGAGTGCTGAGGAGCGCTATATATCTCTAAAATTGCAGAGAGCGCGGAGGCGCTTCCATTTATCAGTATCATTTATAATTTTCATACTATGTTTTTCAAGAAATGGATCAGAGTAAATTTATTTGAATAAATGTTATTTTTTGATATTTTTTTGTAACAATACAAATATTTGCAATCTCATTAGATAACTACTCTTATTAGTTTTTTTGCATATACATCTAATCACTTCCGCATTTTTGATAAATATCCACAAAAGTTGTTTAGCATCCAAACGGTTAATAATTGCATCAGGAATGGGCGATTTTCACTCGTCGGATAGTTTTAGTGTTAAAATATACTCTAGGTGCATTCGTTCTGCATTCGACGAGTACACACTTTATTTGTTGATTTTATTGCACGCGAAACCAGAGATTTTTTAAACTAAATTCTACAGTTAACGGGTTAAAATATATAAGTTGTTATCTGATTACACGACACTTGTCATTTCAACACCTTGCTGGCCGGTATACTCGTGTTCATTTGTCCGGGTTGTTCATGAGTTTCGTTGTATTTTCACTTACATTAACTTATGTTTGAAAATATAGATGTTTGTAAGAGCGTTCTAGATTGTACTCATTAGTTTAGATCATTTAAATCGATTCAACATATTAAGTTGATTTTTTCATATTTTCTACTTTTTGTAAATTTTAATGGAATAAATAATAATCTTTTTAGTTATTAAAGGATTTACTCGCTTCTTCGTTTTTACCTAGGTCAGAAAGCTCTTACTTTTATAGTTCCTAAATATATTTTATAATAATTTCACAAGCTAAAACATGAATTTTCTCAATTTCTCGTTTTTGGACTTATCCGCATTGGTTTCCGAGCGATTGATATGCGAATAAAGTACTCGTGTACATAACAGTTGAAAGATACTTTCTGTAAAAAAATTTGCAGGCTAACAAGGTGTCAATAACACGAAAATATTCGAACAGAATTATTTCGCGATCCTATAAACTAGCGTGGCATGTACAAAAATGATGAAAAACCCACGAATTCATTGAAGAGTCTAATATAACGAAATCAAATCGTACGATACTTAATTATTATCGATACTTCGATAATAATCAAATAATCCATACCAAACATTTATCTGACACGCGTCGATTCATGGTCGTGAAAAATAGCTACGATAAGTTATTAACTCACGCGTCGGCTGATTCTCGTTGGATAGCACGCACATCAACGAGCGTTCAAATATCTTTATCTTCTATATTAAGTAGAAGAATAATTAAATTTATCTTGAAGAAATCAAATGTCAGAAACGACGCACTTTAACTGTTACACGTTTGTATGTATCTACGTGTTTATCGTTCAACGGTCGAAAGAGATACAGAAAACACTTTGAATTACTCGTTAATCAAAGTTTGATCTGAATAACTTTTATTGCATTGTGTAAAATAGAGATAAGGCTCGATACATATATACGATGTACATATGCGGATGGCGAGAAAAATTATAATCAGATGTTGAAGGATAAGATTTGCGTTAGTCTGATATTTAACCAGTTAGCTGTTTTTGACGAGTGTACTCGTTACGAGGGAACTGCGAGGGTTTGTGTTGTGACGAGCACACTCATCCAAAAATTGGAATATTCATTTTGGAAATAATGAGTTTTATAGGTATACATTGCTTGAATGAAAATTTTTGAAAAAATTACTTGTAAATATGAACACATAACAAAATAAGGTATACGTGTTATGAGATTTTGGTAGAAGAAATATTAGAATGCAGGAAAGATGAGATTTTATAGCTCTGTAGTCTCAAAATAGAGAATCATTATTATTACAGATAAGTAAACTGAGACGAGGTTTACGATTCAAAGACAGATTTCTTTGCTGTTTTTTATGTGTCAGATTTTCAAGACTCCCTTCAAAGATATCTTTTATGGGTGAAAAGTATCTTTCTTAAACAGGAAATGCTCAGTAAATAGAAACTTCTATGCTGTTTATACGTATATTACATAATCGTATATGCACCCTTCTATACCCCATAACTTTCGTACAAAGTATGTTCTTAGAGTAATTCACGTCTTCAGAAATGATAATTGGAAATGATAGTTGTATAATTATTTTCCTGATAATAACTTCGATATAGCTTCCGAATATAAAATATTAATACACTTCTATTAGAAACAATTAATGTTTATTTATCCGTATTCTCAATAAGGAACTACAGTTTTCATACATGTCGCAAGAATTCTTAAAGAACGAATTTTTTTACCAAAATGTTAAATAGCATTAAAAACTCTCAAACCAATGAACCGCATTGCTGTCCAAGTTCCATTTCTAGCGAAACAGAAACGAACAAATTCTTGTCATTCTGAACACATTCCAAATGTTACATTACATGATTTTTTTATCATTGCCAAGATCAAAAGAACATTTTCAATAAGAAAAATTCGTTGGAATAATCCGGGAGATAAAATAAATGGTAAAACTAGACCGAGTCGTTTAACCCTTTGCGGACGGATGTCGGCATTTCGGCGAGATGAAATGTTCAGATTTGAAAGGCTAAGTTGTGGATAAATGATCTAATTGATGAAACAGCAACAGATCAGCACATAGTTTTCTCTTCTTATATTAATTAAGCAATTGATATATAATTTAGCTTCATATGTTGAAGGTTTTGTATGTTTCGAAGAATCTTCGTCCGCAAAGGGTTAATAGTGAATTAACCACATCCGATTTTGTTCGTAAATCGATTTGAAAATGTGTCGGTGAATGTATCACTGGATCGTTAAGGGTGAATTAAAGTTGAGGCAGAGGATTTCCGCGGACCCCGTGACTCCAATGAAATCGCTAATCGATTTGCTTTGTGGAGACAGGATTATCGTTGATGGATCTTCCGTTGCATGAGATTCTGCTAACAAAACGATTCAAGATGTCAGCCTTAGCGTTGCTGTCGTTGCTGCTGCTCTCGGCCGTCAGCGGAGCCGAAACCGGGACAAAATACAGACTTCCTACATACGCCAAACCCACTGAATACATTCTCCACATTGAACCAAATCTAAATCCCGACAAATTCTCCTTCGTGGGAACAGTCACGATCAAAGTGGAGATCGTAAACAAAACATCGACCTTAGTATTGAATCAACTGAATTTAACGATAAACACCGAAGATGTCACGCTGAAGGACAAACAAACTGCTATTCCGGTGAAAAAAGTGGACCTTGATCAGGATCATGAAATACTGACGGTCGAATTAGCAAAGGACCTCGAAGTATCGAAAGTATACGATCTTACCATAAAGTTCTCGGGCCTGTTGAACAACAAGAATCGCGGATTCTACAGGAGTAGATATTTCGATGAGAAGAACAACCTCAAGTAAGTATATACTCGATGCCTGTTTGTAACGAGTTAACGCAATTCCTACCGACACTCCACGAATACCTATTCCTACCGCGACCAGTCAAATGACTAGTCTTTAGCACACCTTATATTTTTTAATATAGAATGAAGATAATAGCCAATTTGACAGTATACAAATATAGTTCCTTTTATTTAGACGTAAATAATTTACATTTTATTCGTTTCCACCGCATTTTTTACAAATAGGTTTGTCGATTGCACATTTCCCACACACGTACTTTTTACATTTTAGACAGATTTTGTTAGTCTTATTGTTTGTGCAATATCTTATTTGGCATGGTTTCCGTTCGCGTGAACCTGTACTTGTATTTGTGACGAGTGTTGCTTCATTTTCTTTGCCTAACTCTAGTTCTTTTTGATATTCAATGGCAAGTTCTTCTGCCAATTGAAATAAAAATTCCTGCCTCGAAATTTCTTCTCCCGTGGATTCTTTATATAAAATCCATGCATTTATCCCGGCTAAATCTAGGATATTGAAAAATGTCTGTGAAGGCCATCTCCGACATTTAGATTTTACCGATTTTACCGAGGCCGATAGGCGAGCGAGAACTTTAAACACTTGGAAGTACCGTAAAACAGTCCCCGAAAGGCACTTTTTGGCTAAAATCATGCCACAACTGCATTACCTTTCGTTTGTAACGGCTTTATAGTTTCGTTGAGTCTTTGAGAGAATACTATTACAAAAAGATATAAATCGTTCTACCGGTCAAATGACCGGTCGTGGTTGGTAAGACAGACTACAAAATTTTCTCAGAAAATAAACAATAAAAAAAGGTGTGAATATTGAAAAATGTTTTATATTTACATTTTAGGAAAATTCTAATCGAAATTTTAAAAACAGTCACTTAACTGGTCGCGGTAGGAATAATGTTAATCGTGTCAAATTACTTGGAGGCAATTCTAATTTATCAGATAACTGATGTGTCAAATGAAAATGTTCTGACAATCACGATACCGGATGATCTATAACTTTTCCTCTGTATCTTTGCTAGAAAAGAGAAAACGATATTTGAAAATCTGAAGCTTTCCTTGGTAGTCAACGTATTAACTATCGAAATACAAAAACTCTCACGTCAACATTAAGAGCATTGTTTCAGAAGAAGCGAAGAAAGTTTTGTTCATGATATTTCTTAATGTATGTCCTTTATCAATTAGATTGGGAAAATTAGTCAATAATGTTTATTCTAATCAGGATCGTTCGTTAACTTTGGAATTAGATTGATCTCTGGGGCTAATGTCGGTAGTTAACAGTTAAGACTGGAGAACTCGTAGACTTCATCTGCAGATTCTTCATTTATGTCTACATCAAATTAACCTTTTGACTGTATCAGGAATGGACAACTGATATTGCGTTCCTTTACTCTCTTACGCAAAATTCAACAGCGATTTACGGGAAAACTATTCATTTTCGACCTATTAACGCCTTTTGTCACGCCAGAGACATTTTTTTTTGTTAATTTCTGTCGAGCTCAACCCTTTCTTTTCATCATTTCCCCCTTTTCGTCGGAGGCTATTTTCCAGCAGCTTTTATACCTCGATTTCCATTAAACCGAAGGTGTAGAATCACGCTACGACAAGAAAGTACAATTCTTTTCCAGCGTGTACATAAAATTGCTAAATTTTACATTTGTAAGACAGGCGTTCTGCGATTGCTCCAAATGAATTTGAATGTTACAGATATATAGCGACGACTCACTTCGAGCCGACCGGCGCGCGACTCGCGTTCCCTTGCTGGGACGAGCCCGCGTACAAAGCATCCTACACAATTTCGATCACACATTTGTCCAACTACACCGCTGTAATCTCCAACATGCCTCAGGACTCCGCGAAACCAAATGACAAAACCCAAACGACAACTACTACTTTCAAACCAACCCCACCTATATCGTCTTACCTGGTGGCATTTGTTGTGTCGGATTATAAATTTACGGAAAACGGCATCTATAGAGTGTTCACGAAACCTAATGCGGTGGATCATACGAAATACGCATTAGACTTCGGTATAAAAGTGATCGCACAATTGGACGCATACACTGGTGTGAACTATACGCAACATATGGCTAAGATGGACCAAATTTCCATTAAGGACTTCAATGCGGGTGCTATGGAGAACTGGGGTCTAGTAACGTACAGGTACTACACGCTTCCTCTCGCGTAGACCGACAAAGGGAACCTTTTCAACCAGCACACGCCGATTTTGATGAAACTGATGCGAGACATAATTCTACAGAAAATATTTCACACGTATTTTTTCTTATTGGCCAATATTCACTTTGAGGGGATGAAAACACCCCTAAAAGTCCAGGGTTGAAAGTATATTTTCTATATCTCTGAAACTACCGGGTGTATAAAAGAGATCTGAATTGTTCGTTTCGAGGCGAACAATTTAGTAAAAGAATTTCTTTTCAATACCACCTGGTTTCAAAGATATTAAAGAAATATATTATCAACCCTGAACTTTGAGGGATGTTTTCACTCCTTCGAAGTGGATGTTGATCAATGTTTCACGTAAGTTTTATCAAATCAGTGTGTGATGGTTGAAAAGGTTCTCTTGTTAGTCAAACATAAAAATACAGAAGTTTTGTTATTTTATTTTATTTTATTTTATTTTATTTTATTTTATTTTATTTTATTTTATTTTATTTTATTTTATTTTATTTTATTTTATTTTATTTTATTTTATTTTATTTTATTTTATTATATTTTATTATATTTTGTGGCGTTACATGTCAAATAGTTTCAAATTTTTCACCAGCTGTATAATTAGAATATTGTGTTTTCGTAGAGATTCCAAATATTTCGCAGATATATGTAAATAAGTACATCAAGTTTCTTTAAGTAATTCATGTTCGTCACTGCTGTTAAAGGGAGACCGCTCTTTTGTACGAAGAGGGTGTTACCACAACACGTTCTAAGCAGAGCATAGCAACAATCATAGCGCACGAATTCGCACACCAGTGGTTCGGAAATCTGGTCAGTCCAAAGTGGTGGGAGTTCATTTGGCTGAATGAAGGATTCGCTAATTACTTCCAGTATTTTATCACGAATCTGGTAAGTACGAGCGATTTTTATGTATTTAAGGACTTTCAATAATCAGAAAAATGCGAAAATAACCAGAAAAAAGATTTCACGAATTGATCTTATTTGGATCTGATGGATCTTTCTCTTCTGAATCCCAGTATTAATTAAAATTAGAAGAACAATATTGATTTATTGGTAATTATTTCGTAGGAAATGATGTTCCATTCTATTGATTAAGGAGAATATTCAACCGGCTATAAAATTTAATTAGTAGATAACATTCTCTTCTCTCTTGTCAGTATTATTTATCTCATGGAGCACTGCATTTTGCAATGCATGTACGAATAAAAAAAATCGTTGGTCTTACGAGGAATGGAGCTAAGAAATATTTAAGTCGGTATTTTTAGATGCATTAGCATTGGAAGATTTTATTTTTAGAAAAGCGGAACTAATTTTGAGTTAAAAATTTGCGATATATTCCCCTAAAACTTAAAAGAATATATTTATTGTACATGATGACTCAAAAGAATTGTTTACTATGTAGGTACTTTGGAAATTGTGGCCTCGGATATGTTTTAAGACTTTAATTTAATTTATCTTAAAACCTTTTATCACTGATTTATACAAAAAACCGTTTTTATTGTTTCCGTATCATTATAGATATGCCTAAGCACTCTGTATAGATTATTTATTTACCAATGGGTAATCTATGATTGGTTTCTTTTTCAATTTAATTAAAACTTATCATAGCTCACTTTTAATAATACTTCTCCTATAAGAAACTGTTCTTATTCGAATTGTATTATATTCAGACAAACTTGTATTCTTACAAAAAGTGAATTTGTCTTGATAAACCTAATATTTTGTTCTTTCTCTTACCTCTGTTTTGGAAATTCTGTTATTTTACATACACGTACAAAATAGTTTTGGCGTTAATTTAAGAGGGGACTCGTTATCAGCACAAATATTGCGTACACGAAACTCCTACCAATACGTCAAACTTATCTTTAACGTTTCATCAGTAAAGCGGAGTTTCCCATATCCTAACATCAATTACTTGTATATTGTTCCGGATGTTATATCATCCGAGAAGAATGATAAAAAGATATTTAAGTAGAGTATTTACCAGTCTTCAAGGTATTAATTTAAGTATGATAGATCTAATATCAAAAAAGTAGCTCTCCGATGATCCGATAATACCATTACTCTAACACTCTTGTCTCCCTATTAATTTAGATAAGAAACTCTCTACTGTCGAATTACGTACTTACATACCCTTGTATAACTATGTGTGTAACCCAGTTTGATATTGACTCACGTATAGTCATTCAATTTCACGATTGTTCAAATTACCTAGCGATTACCTATAATTCATTAAGACGATTGTGGACATTATACTCAAAACAGACACACAGACAAACAATATTGTTCTGTCTAGGATCGAGAATATTTCGTTTATGCATCGGTTTAGTTTGTAACGTTTATAACGACATAGACTATAATTTTAATTATATTTTTACAGTGCCAAAATTATATTAGACTTTAATTTATCATGAATATATACATATAAAGAGAATTATATAAATTCATGACTTCCGAAAGACAGATGTTTTGTAAAAAAGAGAGAATATTTATTACGATCGAAAATAATTAAACGATTTTTTAATTTTGATAATGTTGTACTCCGATCGGATTGACCGACAATCAAACGATTAACTTGATGCTAATCTGTTATTCAATCTCCATATATCAATCTATCTATCTTTTTATAAATAATCTGCTCGCATTTTGCAGTATGTTTTCTGATAATCTTAATCCTTTTAAACAAAATTAACACTCAATGATTAGCGGCAATTATGTTCTTACGTTCCGTTTCAAACATATTATAAACATTTTTATTTTTGGACATGCAATAGTCGCAGTGTGTTCATAACATACAGCATCAACATATTAGCATCCATTTAAATGTAAGACAATTCAAATATGCTGCAGTTTTTACTGCTTCGACATCATGAAAATCGTAATACAATAATCAATATATAATCGAATAATCTCATACATCTTAATTTACCAAGTAATCATCTAGTGGGACAAACAGGGTATTTGTCATAACTGAATCGTTGATAAAATACCTTGTTCCTTCTTTTCGGGAAATTTTCGTATCTCCATGTAAGTAAGATTACTCTATGATTCTCTGATCCTATCTCTGATCTGTAAATGAGTTTAAAGATTTATCCTTTTTTAATACAAGAACTACCGAGTAATTAAAGCAAGTTACACATAATTTCTTATAAAAGGAAAAAGAATGGATTTCTACCGAAATACACGACCTTATTTTTCAATGCCTTACAGACACTTTTTATTATCTCAACAGTTGTAATACAAATACTTTTGAAACGTGTCATTGTTATTTGTTTAACAGTTTTAGTGTTAACATGAGAATAAAAGTAATCGTTTCAATTCGTCAGATATGATTAAACACAATTTTGCTCTTCCTACAAATAAATACTCGAGTTTTATCATTAAGGTCGGAGATGATTTTATTTGAAAAATCGTTCGAGCACCATAATCGTACTACATATAT